CATGAACCTAGAGAGTAAATTTGCAGCATACATGATGTCTGGCCTGGTTGCTGTCAAATACAATAAGCAACCAACCAAGCTTCTATAAATAGAGCCATCAACTTTGTTAGCTCCATCTTCCTTAACAAGTTTCTCGTTTTGAGCCAAAGGAGTGTTAACTGGTTTGCAATTTTCCATCCCAAACTTATTCAGGATTTCATTTGCATATTTTCTTTGACAAATGAAGATTCCTTGCTGATCTTGATGAATCTCCATTCCAAGAAAATAAGACATTTCTCCCATGTCTGTCATCTCAAAAATTTCCTGCATTTGGAGCTTAAAATCTTCCACAAGAGCTGATTTGCTACCTGTCACCAGAAGATCATCAACATACAAAGAAACAATCAACAGATCATTACTGTTAAAAACTTTAATGTACAATGTTGCTTCACTGAGGCTTTTCTTGAATCCTAACTTCAGTAAATGATCATCAATTCTGGAATTCCACACTCTGGGAGCTTGTTTTAATCCATACAAAGCCTTCTTGAGTAGATAGACTTTGCCTTCATGTCCCTTGGCAACAAAACCATCAGGTTGTTCAATGTAGATCTCCTCCTCAAGATAACCATTCAAGAAGGCAGATTTGACATCAAGTTGGTATATTTTCCAACTTTGCTGAGTTGCTAAGGCTAATAGCAGCCTTATAGTGTCCAACCTTGCAACTGGAGCAAATGTCTCTGAAAAATCAACACCAAGCTGTTGGGAGTAGCCTTTAGCTACCAATCTAGCTTTAACTTTGTTGATGGAACCATCAGCATTCAACTTTGTTCTGAAAATCCATTTGACACCAATGATGTTTTTGTTACTTGGTCTGTCAACCAGCATCCATGTTTGATTTTTCTCAATCATTTGAATCTCCTCCTTCATGGCATTTCTCCACTCTGAAAATTTGACAGCTTCTTCAAAGCTTGCAGGTTCAAGAATGGCAACATTTGATCTTTGATAAATATCTGTGAGTGGTCTGATTCCTCTCACTGGTTCATGATCAATGATTTCATTTTCAAACATATAATCTTCTTGATCTTGGAAGCTTATCATGTCTGCAGCAATTTGCTTGACTGATTCTCCATTTGATTTTTCCCAATTCCAGGCAGCTTGCTCATTAAATCTCACATTCCTACTTACAATCATCTTGCCTGTAAGTGGATTGTAAGTCCTATAGCCTTTGGTGATGTTGCTATAGCCCAAAAAAATACATATTTCTGCTTTTTGATCAAGCTTGTCCCTTTTGATATCAGGAACGAACACATAACAGATGCTGCCAAAAATTCTGAGGTGGTGCACTGATGGTTTGCTTCCATTCCAGGCTTCAAAAGGAGTGTTTCCCTTCAAAGCTTTTGTGGGCAGCCTGTTGAGCAAGTAGACAGAGGTATTGACTGCCTCTGCCCAGAATTTCTTTGGAAGATTCTTCTCAAACAGCATGCATCTTGCCATCTCCATGATTGTTCTATTCTTCCTTTCACTGACTCCATTTTGTTGTGGAGTGTAAGTTGCTGTCAGTTGGTGTTCAATTCCTGCAACTTCACAAAACTCATTAAATCTGTCAGATGTGTATTCAGTACCATTGTCTGACCTTATGATCTTGATTTTGCAGCCACTTTGATTCTCAATCCAAGCCTTGAACTTCCAAAATACATTTGCAACTTCAGACTTTTGTTTCATGAAGTAAATCCAACACATTCTAGTAAAGTCATCTATAAAAGCAATGAAATATCTACTGCCATTCAAGGACAAGGTTCTCATAGGACCACAAACATCAGTATAAACAAGTTGTAACCTTTCAGTTGCCCTCCATGCTTTGTTAATTGCAAATGGCAACTTACTTTGTTTTCCTAGTTGACAGACTTCACACACTCCAGCACTGACTTCAACAGTAGGCATGTTTAATACAAGATCATTTTTATACATGAAATTCAATGCATTGTAGTTGAAATGTCCCATCCTTTTATGCCATAAAGAAGATTCATCATGTGAAGTAGCATATGCAGAGGAGTTTGCTTCATGCCAATTCAAGGAAAAACATTTTCCTTTCATATTAACAGTAAAGAGTTCATGGCCAGTGGGATCATGAATTATGCATGCCTTGTCTTTGAAGACTAAAGAGTAGTTATTTTCTAGCAACTGTCCTACACTTAACAGGTTTTGATCTATTTTGGGCACAAATAACACATCTGAAATGAGTTTGGTACCTGTTGGTGTCTCAACTGCCACTACTCCTTTTCCTTTGACTTCTATGAAATCACCATTACCTATTCTGACTTTAGAGGTGCAGGTCTTGTCTAGTTCTTTGAATATGTTGATATCAGATGCCATATGGTGTGTGCAGCCACTGTCAATGAGCCATGCACTGGAGGAGGTTCTGGTTCCATAGCAAGTTGCAACAAAAACTTGCTCTTCTAGCTGTTGTTGATTGTCAGCAACTCTGGCTTGTTGATCTAGCTGCTGCTGTTTTTTGCTTTTACATACCTTCTCCATGTGACCAAGCTGCTTACAGTACCTACATTGTATGTTAGGTCTGTACCAGCAATATTTCTCCAAGTGAGTAGTCTTTTTGCAGTGAGAGCATGGTGGAAATTTTCCTTTCTTTTCACTGTTTCTAGAACCTTGGTTTCTTTGATCTCCTTGTTTTCTGCCTTTGCTTTCTGTTTGCATCTTGCCTTTCTCCTTGGCTGTAAAAGCACCTTCTGTTGAATCTTCTTGTCTGATAGCCCTTCTTTGCTCTTGAGCTTGTAGAGCATTGAACAATTCTGCTGGAGTTATCTTGGTCAGGTCCTTAGAGTCTTCAAGGGATGAGATTTTTGACTCAAACCTCTCTGGTAAGCTGACAAGAACCTTCTCTACAATTCTTTTGTCTGACAGCTCCTCACCAAGTAATCTAATCTTGCTTACTATCTTCATGAGTCTGTCATTGTACTCCTTTAAATTTTCAGACTCCTTCATCTTTAAGACTTCAAACTCTCTTCTAAGATTCAACACTTGCATTTGTCTTGTCTTGTCACTGCCTTGAAACTCTTCCTTGAGCACATCCCAAGCTTGTTTTGCAGTTTCACAAGTCATGATTCTAATGAATATGTCATCAGAAACTGAAGACTCAATACAGCTTTTAGCCTTATACCTCTTTGCCTTTTCTTCACTATAATTTTTCATTTGAGTTACTGTTGGATTTGCAGGAAGTTATGGTGGTTCCTTCTCATTTTCCACCACTTCCCACAAATCAAAAGCACTCAAATAAGTCTTCATTTTGACAGCCCATATCTGGTAGTTCTCACCAGAAAAAATAGGAGGTGGAGGTAAGGAGCAATTGCTTGAGGCCATTTAAGGTTGACAAAGGCTGGCTGGAAAGTGTTTGATGGCTTTTCACTCAATTTTTGGAACTCACAGATCCTCTAAGAACTTAAAGAATGCTCTGATACCAATTGAAGGATTTAGAGCAGAAAACAAGAACAAACAAAGACAGCAGAAACTAATCTGTTACTTGAAGTAAATTGGCTCATTTGATCATGAGCTTCATTTCATTAATTTATAGGCTTGAAAAATACAAAAGTTGTTGGCCTAACAGCATGGGTCACCATGCACAAACCCATCATTTTACCTAGACAAATCTGCTGTCAGAAAGTTCCAGCAGAAATGCCATACTAACTTGCTTCAACCACTAACACACTAACATGCTTCAGTACTAGCATGCTTCAACCACTAACAAATCCCAAAAGGAATCTAATTAATCAAAATTTGCTGGAGCAAAGGAGAGAATAGAATGAACTAGAGCTTAACTCAAATGGTTCATGCAATCATCCTATGGCATCTAGGATGTTTGGATTCGAATCCCATCATACACAATCCCTTTCTTATTGCTGCTGACTTTTCTTTTTAAAAAATAGAATGATGCTATGGACTAAAGATAATAGTAGGGGAAAGGATATCAAACCTGTTTCCTTCTTCAAATTATTTGGAAAGATAACTTTGAAAAAGTTATGAACAACAAAAGCCCTTTGCTCCTGGATAAGTATTAATGGATGGAAAAAGAACTGACATGAAAGAAGGAAATCAGTAGTGTTTTACAAATAATTAAAAAAAAAAAAAAAGAAGCCTGAAAGAGAAAAGACTGTTTATCACCTGCTTCAGTGAGTCAGTTTACTGATACTTCTATATTCCTCAGAAGATCAAGCACAGGAAAGAAATTCAAATAGCATGTAGATGATCTCCTTGCAAAATCCCAATCCTCTGTGACAACTGAGAAGAGAATCAATTTTGAAGCAGAAAAGAAATTAAAAAAGTGCAACTCAATTTGCAATGTCATCAGCCATACCAGAGGTTTCAGAGTCACTTTGCTTGATTTTTTTTCATTTTTTTTCACAATAAAAAAAGAATGAATTGCACAAAACGTGACAAAGCAGGTGTCAATTATTGGGGCCACTTGTGCTACCAACTGTCAATCAAGGATAATTTTCTTTCCTTTTTTTTTGTTTTTTAAAAAAAGCTGTCAATCAATGTTTAAGAACTCAAACTTAGACCTATTCTTTCCTGGACCATCCAACAATGACTGAATTAAATTCTCTTGATTTCATGGATCATCAAGGCCATTGCAAAGGATGTACTTACAGCTTCAAAGTCAAATTGTGCCTTGGAAAGGATTCCGATAGACAGAAAACACATAAAACACATGTATAAAATTAAAAATGGGAGCATATCTGCTATTTTAGAGATATTTATACTCAAATTTTATTAATTTTTATGATACTCAAATTTATTAATTATTTGATTAAATTTATATTTCATTATCCAAACTCTAATCCGAATAAATAAGCACTACAAATTAAATATCCAAATACCTGATTATAATGAAATTATACTTTTGAAAATTGCAAACTATCATCAAGTCCAAATTTAACTTCCAACAGATGATAAATTACAGTACAAGTACTTGGGACTTGAGAAAGGATAGGAAGTAAAGATTCAGTCACTTTTTTTTTTTTTTTTGAAATTTAGAGAAAATAGACAAAAGCACTTAATTTTTAGCAAAAACAGATTTTGCCACTATAATCAACTAATAGCCTGATTATTGATGAATCAGTATATCTGCATACTTCAACAAATGAATAAATGAAAAACAAAAAAGTGAGAGCCAATGCAAATTTCTTTTTCTGTTCTTAGTATATATTCAAAAATTTCATTACAACAAAAGAAAACAAAAAGAAAAAACGAAAGGGCCAAAATATCAATGAAAATCCTTGAATTCTTGTTCAAAAGCTTCTTCAAACAAAAACCTAGATGCTTCCATCAACTCAGGGCTCAACCTGAACATCAACACACAAAACTCCATCTGATTAAGTGCCCCATCACCATCAAAATCACCTTCTTTTATCATTGACCTTAAATCATCATCTGTCAAGCCCTGTAATCCCAACAGGGCTGAATTCTTCTTCAAGCTATCAAAAGTAATGACCCCCTTTTCACTATCCATCAACAGGTTGAACCCATTGCATAGTTCCCCTATCAGGCCATCGCCTCCAAGCTTGTCAGCCATCACAGGCAAGAAATCCTGGAAACCTGATGATGAGTTTTCTGAAGCTGATGGAGGAATTGCTGCCATGTTTGATGTAATAAGAGAAACCAGTACCCAAAAAAAAAGGATATGGGAAATTTTGGAGAATTGTTATTTGAGGAATGAAGTGCCTGGGGAGCTTGGAATGGAATATATAGAAAAGGTTTAATGGACGTGAGTTGAGATTTCCAAGAAAGGCCCTGTACAAACAACTAAGATACAGGTAATGTGGTCGCGAGAGGAATCGGTCGATCCGGGGTGTTGGAACTGCTGACTCCAAAGCTTCTCGGAAGGTTGGATAGGGATAGAATTGTCAATATATGGGAAAGTAGAGAGTGGTTTCTCTTAATTTTCTCGTGGATTAAGAGGAATTGGAAATCTTCAAAGTGTAGAGTTTGAATTGCCACTCCAAGCAAGCTGAACCTCTTTTTGTCTTATAAATAATAAATAAATAAATAAATACTTTTAGTAATTTTGGTTCTGAATTAAAAATGAGTTGAAAATGTTAAGACTGCATGAAAAAAAATCGTAGTCTGACTTTTAAAAATAAAAAAAAATTATAAATAAGAATCAGAAGTAAATTCGAGTTTTTTATTTGAAATTATTTGAATTAAGTTTTTAATAAATAAATTTAAATTTTTTTATTAATATCCCATATAAATATTGACATTTGTTAACGATTGAATAGCACTTAAAACCTTATTTAAAAATATAAAAAATTATTGGGACAATTTCAAAGGGACAAGACCATTATTTTTAACTCTCTTTGATTTTTTTATTCAATTAAAAATTAGTGGGTTGTTGGTGGTCATTCAATTGTGTTCTAAAAGACACCTTTTAATTGACCATAAACAGGGAAGTTTCCCAAAGGAAGGTCCCATGAAAATCAATGCGTATCATTCTTTCCCCATTTGTTTGTTTTCCCAGGTAAGACCTTTCTGGTTTTTTCATGGTAACTCAGTGTTTGCTTTACAGTTGGTCTTTGGTTGACTAAGAAACTACGCGACTGGAGGAGGCCCTGTCTGCCTGCTTGCCTGCCTGCATGAGGCGGTGGTCAAAGCTGCCCTTTTTCCAATTTCCGTGTGGACTGTAAGAAACTCTGGAACTGCCCAACAGGAGGAGGCCTTGCCTGCCTGAGGCTGTGGTCAAAGCTGCCCTGCTGTTTTGCCAATGCCTATGCTCATACCCTTGCGGGCACTCTTCTTCATCATTAATTGAATTTGAAAATCTTAAATCAATCACTAATGACTCATTTAGACCCTCTAAATTACAAATTCATTCTATTTTGAACAAAATGTTAAAATTATTCCATGAGCAGAAATAATTTTTCTTTCATATATATATTTTTTATTCATTGAAGAGGGGATAAGGTTTGGGAATGATAGGCTTAAAATTCTCATTTACATATCTTTTTAAATATTCTTAATCATTTCAAAAACATATCATATATATAATTTTTCAATTACGATTTTTATCATACAAATTATAAAAAGATTAATTATTATAAAGTTTATTGATTGTTTACTTATCACAGATTAAATTGATTATAGTTGATGGAATATAGTCTAATAATATACCAAAATCATGCTTTGATTTTGACAAGATTTTCATGGCAAGCTTTGCCGGCCAATTTGCAAATTATTTGCTGTATACTTATAATTATGATAAGATGTATGTAAGACAAAGGTGTAAAGACAAAGCATCCTTGATAACGGAAGTTGATTGGATTGGTAAAAATAAAATATTTCGTTTATAAAATTTAAGTTCGATTTGTATTGTAAATAATAATCTTTTGGTTGACAATCGATAAATCTAATATATGTTCTTGCTAAAATTTGCTACATACCTAACCTTGAACTCACTTGAATTTTTTTTAAAAAAGACAAGTTGCCAAACTTTGGCATTGAGCCTTTATAATTTCTAATCGTAGAAAAAGTAGGCAAATTGCGGGTCTTCAACCTTCATTTCAACCAACCAATCGGGAGAAAACTCTTCTAGTCTAGAACACTAGGATACTTCTGATCAAGACACCAACCTTGGTTGATTTCTAAGTCATTGTTCAATGTCCGCATCTGGAATTGAGAGACTAATTTTTTTTTTTAAGATTTATTAGAACTGTCCTTAAATATCAATGGAAATCAATAGACAACTTATAACGTGGAATTTTCTCCAACATGTTTACGACAGCTACTAAGGTTGCCCTGTCTGATGCCTTGCCCTGAACACATAAAAGACTGACTTGTGAATTCCTCTCCAATATAGGATCTATCAGTTCAAGTGCCTTGCCCTCTCTCCACAAATTCCATGCCTAAAATAATTGCATTACCTCTAGTAGCTGGATTCCAAAGCTATAAATATCAGATGTTTCTGAAAATTGAACTTTTGTTGCATACTCAGGTGACATATAACCACTGCATTGGCATAAAGGAAACTTGTTGGTACTTACAAAAGGATATCTAATTGTGCAGAAGTTCCATTTTGTGTTTTTGTGATGTTCCCATCACCTCATTTTTAATGATATGAGTTTCATTCCCTTTAAAAGTTCTAGCTATTCCAAAGTCTGAAATCTTGGGATTCATCTCAGCATCTAGTAGAATATTGCTTGCTGTTAGATCCTTGTGGATGGTTCTCCTAGGGAAATTTTGGTGCCCCTTTTCCTGAGGCAATGATTCATTGTTCTCTTGCCCTTGTGAGAAGTTTGGAACAAGAATCTCAATTTTCTTCACCGCAAGGATCAGAGGCCATAAAGTTCATTTTTGAAGCCAACCATTACATGGCATTGGTCCTAAGATTTTGCCTAAAGCATGATATTAAATGTCTGGAACAATGCAGTTGGTAATTGGTATAAACTGAAACTTCTGTCTCCAAATTAAAAAGGATAAAAATGAATGGATCTGTTATAACTCAGAAGACATGGTAACTGGTATATGGCTCCAAGTAGCAGTTTACGAACTACAGCCTACAGATGAGCTGCACTCTGACAATTTTGCATGAGATTTTCATCTTTTTAAGGTATGGCTCTGCCATTTTCTTTTTATCTTAGAATGTTGAGGCTTTGAGTAATTTGAAATTCAATTACATATACATTGAAACACCCTCGAAACTCAAATACCTTGACAACTACAGAATGCATCTATGCCTTACTCCAACCAGGTTAAACATATGCAAGTTAGTGCAGTTAAACAGGTTAAACATATGCCCACAAGTAATACAAAAACTCTCAAACTACTTATATTTATCGTCCCTCTAAGAACGTAGAGGTAATTTTATTTACTGAATATGATGAAGATTCTATCCCAAGAGGATTCCTTTCTGTGTAGAAACCAGGTTGCTTTGGCTGAGGCAATGGACCATCACTCCCCAACATTAGAATCACTGAAGCCATGTTTGGCCTGTCTTCTGGTAGTTGTTGAACACACAGCAGTCCTACATGGATGCATCTTAACACTTCTGATACAACACAAGAGTTCAGCAAAAATTTATTGATTAGGTCCAGTGGCTTCCCATCCATCCACAATCTCCACGCCTGTAAAACATCAAGAAGATCTTAGTTACTGACAACTCTCGCCTGCAAGTAGACCTGACAATTTTAAATAAAAAAATAATATAAAATATATACCAAAGCGACATGAATTAAAATTTTAGTCAAAAATGTATATGGGTTTGACAAAAATAAAAAAAAATGTGTTTTGTGTTTGATGTACTGACACCAATTGTGACATGAAAATTTTCATGTTTTACACATTTTAAACACAAAATAGTTGATAGGCATAAACTAATTACCAGGTCTACCCAAAAGGTTGCAAAATTACTAAAAAATACTTCTATCCTTACAACACAAAAACCACCTTTTATTATCAAAGAGGAAATGAAACTGGTTAGTTATTTGAAGAGGAAACAAATTTAGTAATGGTTCTTTGACATGATGTTAAAACAGAAGATCCTTGTCTTTATGCTTACATGTCCAAGCAGGTTAAGATGGTGATTTGAGTGATGAAATCCTCTATTTCTCTTCCCACTCAATATTTCTAGTAATAGAACACCAAAGCTAAAGACATCTGATTTCACCGAAAAGAGTCCATCAATGGCATATTCAGGTGGCATATATCCACTGCAAAAAACCATTGCAGAAAAGAATGAGTTTAAAAACTGTGAGATCAAAACAAAGTAAATCATAGACAATTTTAGGTGGACGTACTATGTTCCAACAACTCTTTTTGTATTTGCCACACTTTGATCATCTCCAAATGTTTTAGCCATACCAAAATCTGAAATTTTTGGATTCATTCCATTGTCTAGCAACACATTGCTGGCTTTAAGATCTCTGTGGATAATTTTCAGTCTTGAGTCTTGATGAAGGTAAAGAAGCCCCCGTGCAATCCCACAAATGATGTGAAAGCGCATATGCCAATCTAGTATTTTGATTCTTTTTCTGTCTGTCAATATGGCATTCAAGTTAGTAAATTTCTATTTGAAGGAAACACGAGCTTAACTCAAATGGTTCTGGTGTATCCAGCAAGTCTGGGTTTAAATCTCACTACCTGCAACCCCTTCCCCTATTCTCACGCTGCCTACCAAAAATATTCTATTTGTAGGCTTCTGAAAAAGGAAAACATAACAGAAAATGAAAGGAATATCTTGAATTTAGAACAGGTCATACCAAAAATAAAATAGTCCAAACTTCTGTTGGGCATGTACTCATAAATCAGCATCCTCTCATCTCCATGAATGCAGCAACCAAGAAGCTTCACAAGATTTCTGTGCTGAAGTCTTGCAATCAAGATAACTTCATTCTTGAATTCTGTCTGTCCTTGGCCAGAGTTTCCTGAAAGTCTTTTGACTGCTATTTCTTGTCCATCTCTCAAAGTACCCTGGAAATCATTCAATAAAAAGAAAAAAAGGTTTGATTATCTTCTGTGTGCCAATATGATATCTACAATTGGCATATTATTACATTACCTTGTATACGGGTCCAAAACCACCTTCTCCAAGCTTGTTATTACTTGAAAAGTTGTCAGTAGCTATTGCTATAGTATTGAAATCATATCTTGGAAATTCCATGTCATCATTTGCATCTTCATCCATCCTGTCTTCACTTTTTGTTGACACTGAAATCATATGGAACAGATCAGGTATGAGTCACATTATATAAAACTCTTTCCATTCATGTAATGTTTGAATTTAACAGGAACTAGCCAATGCTTTTCTATAAACATAAA